ACACAGACACAGACACAGACAGACACGTACGTACAGACAGAGACGTACAGCCGTACAGACAGACAGACAGGCAGGCAGACAGACAGACAGACAGGCAGGCAGACAGACAGACAGACAGACAGACAGACAGATAGATAGATAGATAGATCGATAGATAGATAGTTAGATAGATAGATAGATAGAAAGACAGACCGACGTTCGTACATAGGTACATGCGTACATGCTCACATACATACATACATACATACATACATACATACATACATGTATACATACGCGGAGAGACTGAGGGAAGGGGAGGGGGCAGAAAGAGAGAGAGAATACGGGGTCCCAGTTGTTTTGCAGAGTGGTAGCAGTAGAAACCTTTGCTGCCTTCGCATCATAGGGAGGGGGGTGGCTGTCGGAGGAATTTCCTCAGCGAGCTTGGTGATGGGCCCGGATGCGGGATAAAGTTCAGGGTTGGGGGTGCGACGACTGCCACACTCTCCAGGTAGACTCCGAACCGGGGGTGATTCAATTCCTAGCTGAACTCTAATGCTTCCTTCTCTGCAGCATAGAGGAGAGCGGGGGCGGGCGGGTCCGGCTTGCACGGACTCAAGCACTGCGGAAGGATGATACGAAGAGACTGGTTCTACAAACAATTTAATTCCCGTCTCTCAATTCTCCCACACTGTATAGAAGCTGAAACCCAGAATCACGCAGTGTAAAACCCACCCCTTGTCAGATGTTAGTGCACAGTAGGAGGTGTTGAGTGCCGATCTCATTGAGTTTCAGTTTAAGTTTAGGGTTTACGGTTTCTAAGGATCATGATTGTAGGCTTCGTCCTGGGTGCAATGGCATAGGTGTAGGTGGAATGACACAGTCGAGTACGCTGAGAATGTGACTCCACCCAAGGGTCTTGAGCCGTAAAGTCTGACATGTATCAAGCGTTGCAGGATCAGGAGAAAAGTTGCCTGAAACCCTAAACCCAAAGCCCTTACCAGCCTTTGTTCGAAGTCTCCTGGTTCAGGGCTCTTCCGGTTTCGGCAGAGACAGGTTTTCGCTTCCTTGCAGAAAGATGCGAACTCCACGCTGCACCAGTTGCCTGGGCTCGAAGCATTTTGCCGATGCTTTGGAAGCTTGATGGTTGAAAGGGGTTGTCTTCACGTTGTAGGGTCTGTGCAGGATTGTCGCGTCGGGGCCTCAGGGTACTGGTTTTGTAGGGCTGTTATATCTGCAATGACCTGATCCAAGATGCGGGGCTGACGGCCGTAATGAAGGAGCCCAGTTTAATTAGGTACCGTAGAATGGCCGATACTACAGGGAATGGGAGGCCCGCGGCTCTTTCAGCAAGTTCCTTCTTCTAGGTCACACAGGAGTACCTTTTGCTCTTCGAGTTCAGCGTGTCCTTATTAAAACAAAAAGTCCAGGGACCAGTGTACCTCCTCCTGTCTTAAGACACTGTTAAGTGGACCCAGGTTCAGTATTCAGGCTCGGCTGTCTAGTAAGGGAACATAGGCTTTGAGATCCCCATGTACTCAGCCTGATGCTCTTCAGAGGAGGTGCCTGGCCTTAACCCTTGTGGACTTTAAACCCTGACTTCTCTGCAATGCCCTGAACTTCCAAACCAGCCTGAAGTCCTAAACCTCCGGCCAGCAGCGTGAAAAGGTCCTAAAGTTGAAGTCCCAAACCGTCAGACCTAAACCCTGGATCCATGAGTGCCAACACCAGCCCAATGCCAGACCTCAGACCGCTCAAGTCCTTTATCCTGAACCCAAGGGTTTGGAGTCCCTAGTCCCGAGAATCCAGTGGCGGAAATCCAGTTAAGGCTCTTCCAGATGCAGGGAGCTTCCGACGAGAGCGCCCCAGCAGTGGTGGACCAGGCTTCGGGAATTTGAGGCTAGGGTGTTGGTTTTGAGGGATCATGTTTGCAAGCTTTAGCTCGTGATGTTGCAGAAGCGGCGGAAGGGATGTATTGGGCTGGTCAGAGCCCGGGGTAATGGGCCTCCATGACAATTACATACCACAAATTAGGGGTAGCTTGTAGGCGTTACATTAAGCTATTCCTGGCTTTACGACCACCAACCGAGCTCTATATTCCCAACAGACATTAAACATCCCACGCGTCATCGGGTGTAGGACGTCCGTTCACTTCGGGCTGAACGTAAGGTTAAGTTTCCCCAAAACCACAACCCACCGAATCCCCAAATTCCTACAGATCGTCAAGCCAGAGGCTTGCCTCTCAACCTAGGGTCATGATGCGAGGTTCAGAGCAAAGCTCATAGCTTGGAGCTTCGGCCTCAAATTTCAATCGGGGCTCGAGGTTCCTGAGCGGAGCCAGCATCCTTCCAGCATTGCAAGACAGCGGGGGGACGGACATGAGTAGCTCCCAACTTCTGTCGGGTACAGAAAGGCATTTACGACGGGTAGCGGCACCTCGACTTACCGTGAAAGAGATGTGGCTGGCTGGCCACGAGGGAGTTCAAACAGCTATGATTACCCCAGTTAGTTCACGCTGACTGGTTCAGCAAACGCGGTGAAGTTGGGGTCGCCGTTGTTTGAATCAATGGATGGGTGTTGTTTGGGAAGCGCTAGAGATTGGAGCTGCATGGTTGCAAGTCGAACCAGACCACAACACCTCCTGAACCTTAAATCCTCACCCGAGGCCCCAAACCGCTCTATCTCCTTGTTCTGCAATCTTGCAAATGCAAATCCCCGAAACAACGTGGCCCGGCTAGAGTTGGAGCACTACGCAGGATCCATTGTGTTAGTCGGTGCTGAAACTAGAAGGCGACTCATCAAGCTCTTAGGGATCCCGGCTGAGGGTTAGGGCTTGCCCTCGAGATAGGGGCTACAGTTCCCTTGTTGTGTCGGAGGCTCAACAGCTAGTGGCCTAGTTCTGCAACTCTAATCTGGGACACTATCCCTTGAGGAGATCAAGAAGCTCTTGAAAGCAGCTCATACCTCGATCCGAAGTCACCACCTGACTGCTGAGCGCATGGGAGCCTCAGAGCAATTATTTGGGGCTCAGGGTTCACAGTATGGCTCGGGGACTCTCCAGCGTTCAGGCCCACAGGCCCTTTCGTTTATCCTGAACCCAAAGCCCCCAAGCGAAGACCTCCCAAGGCCGGCGGATGCAAACGATGCAGCGATCAGACTACAACCACTCATCATCGCCGGCGAGGTTCTCGACTTCGGTCAGGGTGTGTGTGCGTGCCATATATATGTGTATACACACACACACTTATTTTTTATTGTAAATGGATGGATGGATGGGTGGATATGCGTGTGTGTGTATATATATATATACTCATACATATAATGTCCATCCATCCCGCCATCCATCTCTCTATTCCTCCATCTGCTCACCCATCCACTCAGCTATGCTGACATACATACATACATACATACATACATACATACATATACATACATACATACATACATACATACATGCGTACATACATCAGTACACATATGTATGTGTACATCTATACGGGCATATTTTGGTTTCCATGTGGGACCCCATGTGCGCTTTGTATGTGCATGTGCATCTGCATATGCGTGCGTGTGTGTTTGTGTGTCTAGGCACATGTGCATGTATGTGTGTGTACATACATATATACATAT